TGCATACTACTAACTCACGAACTGTTTCAAACCTCAAGGCTCATCTCGTTCATAACTAAAATCCTCAGCCTAACCCACAGGAAATGTCGAAGTAAACCCAATATATGAATACTTCCTCGTCTTTTATAGGAGAATAAATATGGCCGTTCTGAACTGTATTGGGATCAAATCTTCTCACATACCATTTACCTTTACAACAAGAAATTTGATTGGCTGTTTATAGTAGATCCAATCTGAATGGTGTGGCATACATACATCTCTCACTCATCCATTGACCCATCTATAACATACCCGACACGTCAACTAAGAGGTATTTTTTTTTAACAAAAAAATAACTCAAAAATCAGATATAATTTTTTTGCAAGAAACTTGTGCCTCGCTAGATACTGTCGGAAGATGGGAGACAGAATGGGGAGGCAAAATCGTATCTAGCCATGGGTCATCTCATAGCAGAGGAGTTATGATTCTTTTAAAACCATGGCTTGATGTAAACATTGAAAAAATTGCCTCAGATGATCACGGGAGATATATTTTAGCAAAAGCCACTTTTTAAGCTGAAATTTAAAACATTTTCAGATATTTTTGTTTTCTTTGATCAAGCACTACGGTTACATGTAATAGAAATCTTCAAAGGTTTAAATATTTTGAGTTATCAGTATTTCCTTGTGGTTTGAAAGTGGTGATGCTTTTGACTCAATAATCTCGGTTTGGATCCAAATGAGCCATTTAACTTGACCAGTTAACCTTAAAACAAAAGCGAAGAGTTTAAATTACTTTCCTCTAACAGTCACTGTCCCAGAAATGCCTAGAGAATTCCTTTTCACAAGGCGAAATCGGCTCAATGAAAAATAGGACACACTTATCACCTTTGACTGCGTGACCCAAAACGACTGACCGCGGCAAAATATTGAGGCCTAGGATAGTAGGAACTAGGCAAGAATTTACTTAGCCTAAATTGCCAATAACTACCCCAAAATACAAGAACCTATCTTTTTACAGCATTGTTTGTCATCCTTTGTACTTTTATAATAGTTAGTTACATCTTCCTTTTGTGCTGTTATTATTGCTTTATTTTTGGAAATTGTAGCTCTTTCTTGTAAAGCAAAAACACAGACAAATATTTGAATACTTCAATCCCCTTCAGTTGCAGACACAGTAAGGATTCAACATGGCAGCAATCAGGAAAAAGCTAGTCATTGTAGGTGATGGCGCCTGTGGAAAAACTTGCCTTCTTATCGTGTTCTCTAAAGATGAGTTTCCTGAGGTTTATGTGCCCACAGTTTTTGAGAATTACGTGGCCGACATTGAAGTTGATGACAAGACGGTAGAGCTAGCATTGTGGGATACAGCAGGACAAGAAGATTATGACAGGCTACGACCTCTCTCCTATCCTGACACTGATGTTATTTTGATGTGCTTCTCCATTGATAGTCCTGACAGTTTGGAGAACATTTTTGAAAAATGGACTCCTGAAGTCAGGCATTTCTGCCCTAGTGTACCAATCATTTTGGTTGGTAACAAGAAAGATCTGAGAAATGATGAAAATGTAAAGAGAGAGTTAGCAAAGATGAAACAAGAGCCTGTTAAATATGAGGAGGGAACTTTAATGTGTGAAAAGATCGATGGCGATGCTTATTTGGAATGCTCTGCTAAAACGAAAGATGGAGTAATAACTGTTTTCAGGACAGCCACAAGAGCAGCACTTGACGCTAAGAAAAAGAAGAAGAAGGGCAAGTGTACATTGTTGTAAAATATACACTGTATGGAAAAACAATAACCTGGTGGTGAAACTTACAAAAACTGATTGATCTCCACATACTGAGGTGACAGGATTTGTTTTTGAAACCCAAAGGAGAATTCTGTTGTAAATTGTTGACCATTCCTTCCTTTATCACCAAATAAATACAGTCTTTTGGATTTGAATTTTCAACTGCTGTTAAGGGCGTTTAACAAAACACTGACCCCTTGCAAGTTCACTGATTCCCTATTGACCTTCCCCCCCCCCCCAATGACCTTCTATAAAATCAACGACAAAAAGGTGATTTAAAAGAGCCCAAATCTATCAATGGTACTGCTTCAAATTCACAAATAAACTCAGCTTACCTGAAATTTCCAAGATGGCAGATGAGTTGCAGACTTCTGACTCTCTTCTGCTTTGAATCTAAGTGCAGGTTTTGTTTACAGAAAATCGAACAAGCAATTACATTGGAATATCATCAAGTGTGGTATTCATACCCATCAGAAAATTAAGCGATGAAAGTAACAAAGAAATGCTAACAGTATCGACACGCTCTGATTGACCACAGACAACATGAACATGCAATACACGATACATTGTTTTTATAGGGGGTCAGTGTTTTGTTGAAACCCTCGTTAGGGAAACCTAGCCTTACTAATTCGTCAAATTTTCATTCTTCTTAAAGTAGCATAGCTGACAATCACAAAATGTTACAATACGATGTTATTTTTGAGTTTATATACTATNACTCAGCTTACCTGAAATTTCCAAGATGGCAGATGAGTTGCAGACTTCTGACTCTCTTCTGCTTTGAATCTAAGTGCAGGTTTTGTTTCCGGAAAAGCGAACAAGCAATTACATTGGAATATCATCAAGTGTGGTATTCATACCCATCAGAAAATTAAGCAATGAAAGTAACAAAGAAATGCTGACAGTATCAACACGCTCTGATTGACCACAGACAACATGAACATGCAATACACGATACATTGTTTTTATAGGGGGTCAGTGTTTTGTCGAAACCCTGGTTAGAGAAACCTAGCCTCACTTATTCATCAAATTTTCATCCCTCCTCTTAAAATAGCATAGCTGACACTCCCAAAATGTTACAATACAATGTTATTTTTGAGTTTATGTACTATATTATCAGCAGATTTATTTGACAGCTCACAGTCACATATTTTGTTGTCATGTTTATTTTTTGAACTGATTAAAAGCCTTTTGAAATTTATCATTTCCAGTCCTTTTTTAAAATAAATTTAGTGAACAGTATTGAAATGAAATAAATAACTTTTTACTTAACCTAGGGTAGATCTGAGAACATAAAAGGAGAAGAAAAGCTTATAATTATAGCAAGTAAAAAGTGCTTCCTCAAATATAGTGCTATCCTGTGAAACAATCTATTCTAAAGCACAGTGTGCGAGAACAAAGTATACAAGAAAGAATATTAACATGTATCTACCATTATAAAAATTTTGATGATACCTAAAATTATAATCCATGAAATATTTTAGTTCACATGCAATTTGTCTAGATACGTCTTACATATGACTAAACATGCCCCAGCTAAAACTGGGGAATGGTTAAGTCTGGATACGAGCCAAGTGGCCCATCAGGCTGGAGCTTATCCTGGTTTCTGTAGCATGAAGTGATCAGCAGTATTTCTACTCCCCCCTGGATGGGATGCCAGTCCATCACAGGGTTACCACTCAAAACTGCATGTGTGGTGAAAAATATTTAAAGAATAATAAACACAATAGCCTCCATTTGGCATGAAAATATGCTGGGATATTTGTCCTTGGACATAATCTGTTCCTCAAAGCTCACAGTTTTCCTTGAGCTATGCCTTTGGAAAATATCGCAAACTTGCTTCGCTAATTAGCTTGTCTGTTGCAGCTTCATGGCTTGTGTCACGGCACCTGTTCGCAGGCTATGTAGCAGGCTTCAAACATTTACCCTGTGGGAATTGAAGTGGCCAATCAGAGAGTGTATTTGCCTTAGCTGAACTGCATTGAATAGCCTGAAGAAATAGTGTTTATAAATACATAATTAATT